AGGGCGAATAAGGAGTTGTCAATTCCTAATAGCGCTATCCATAATGACCATTGGCTCAAAGAGTTAATGGTTAGAGATAATGGAAGGGCCTTAGTACGAGAAGTTCTCATGTTCCGTGTTGCATAGACATACAAAGAGAGACATAGCAATACAATAGCAATCATGTTTGATACAAATCAATTTAAATACAACATACAAATAATAGTTTTTCTGGACATGCTTTTCCACCACAAAACATAAAAACTAAAAATAGGGGAGTGCGTGAATACTCACAATTTGCTAAATATAGCAACCAAGTTTATACGAGCTAAATAAATACAACGAATATAAATACTTTAGGACATGCTTTTCCACCCCAAAACATTTAAAAATCGAAAATAGCGGATTGGTGAGTACTCACAATACATTGAGATGGTGCAAATGGTGCCTTCACTATGTTCCACGTGTACCACTACCGATTCTTACAATATTGGTATTCACTACTGACTCTCTAATCGAAATGTAACACTAGTATACTTACTACTACAATAGAATTATGCCAACACTGACTCACAATTGAATATTGATAAATTATAAATATTTTTCTGTGGAAATTAAGTTTCAAAGAATCAATTGTTATATAGCAATTTAAGCGGAAAATTTCCATTATTGAAATGTTAATATTTAACATTTTAGAGGTGTTCCAATGATTAAATATTCAAAACTAAATCAATTTAGTTCTAAAATTTCCTAAACTTTGCATTTTAGTTTTAATTGAAGTCAAAGACCTCAAGATAAATTTTCTTGAATTTTGATTTGTCTAACTATTTTTCACCACTTTAGTTTCTTGAATAACCATAAAATTATGAAAAATACTAAACCGTTAATAAAAATTACCAAACTTCAGATTTTAGTTCTAAATGTGTTAAAAGACTACTAGATAATTTTTCATGGATTATGGATATGCATAACCATTTTTCATATATTTAATTCTCTAAATATATAAAAATTCATGAAAAATAGAAATCAGTTAAGAAAATGGCACAAAATTTTATAGTAATGTCATTACACATACTTAACCTGTGAAAAAATATAAAAATGGGTTTCTAAACTGTTTAACCAATTTTTATGATTTTTATGCATATATTTTAATAAAAACTGAAATAAATAGAAAACAGTTTCGAAAATTACCCAAACTTTTTGTATTACTGTTATTAAACATTATTGAGCTGGGAAAAATATAAAAATCGATTTCTAAACTGTTTAACCCAATTTTATGATTTTTGAGCATTTATTCTAATAAAAATTGAAATAAATAGAAACAAGTTTCCAAAATTATCCAAACTTTTTATTTAACTGTTATTATACATAACTAGTCTGTGAAAAATAAAAAAGATATTTTTCAGTTAGTATTTCTATTTTTCCTTGTTTTATCCCCCTAAATAATCATTAATTGAAGAATAAATAATAAACACTTAAAATAAATTACCAAGTTTTTTTGTAACATCATTTACAGTGTAAGTAATCTGGGAAAAATACCAACACTAGTTTTCATATTGTATAATCTGGTTTTGGGTATTTATGTGTATTTAAGTGTATTTAAGTGTACTTAACCTTAGAAAACAGGAGAAAAATAGTATACAGTTGAGAAAAATAATCAAAATTTTTATGTAACCTCCTACTGTACAACATGATGTTATGGTAAAATTTCATGAGTTTTGGATAAACAGAACTATTTTTGTCTATTTTTAGGCCATTATAATTACCAAAAATTGGGAAAAATAGGAAGGCATGATGAAAAATTCTAAAATTATTTTTCTGAGTCTCCCACCACAGGTAAGAGCTGCAAAAATTGTTAGATACAATTTTCACACTTCCTAAAGTGGTTTTGACATTTAATGAGACGTCATTATTCACCATAGGGGTCATCCACGAATTTATTCCGGATTTATAGACCTCTGGAAGTGTTTTATATTATTTATTGCCCTATTTTATTGCATTAATTATACTAAGTCTAGAAAAATGAATTATCTTCTGGAAATTTACAGAGCATCTTATTTTGTTGATGCGAATCTGGGAAAAATCGGATTTGGTCAGAAAATGATTTTTAGATATTTATTTGGAAATAAATCTTTCATTAACATATTTGAAAGCTTTTTAACAACAACTTCGATCATCAAGCATCTAAGCTTGAAGATCATCACATGCATGTTGTTTTGAAGACCATTCATGAGTTTGAAATGTTCAAAAATCGTTTTTGATAGAAAACTTTGGATGTATGTGGTGATTTTCCACCAAAACGTGTAGAAAAGTGCATTTTCATGGTTTTAACTTAGGTTTAGGTCATGGATCTTCACCATTTTGTAACACGGAAGATGCTTTTGGTGAAAATCTACCACCATCATCATCAAAACTAAAGTGAATGAACATTCACACAAAGTTTCTAAGAGAATGGTGTAGAAGAACAAGGAAATGCAAGAAAAGCCTTTAAAACTAGAAAGAAAAGTGAAGGAGATTGAAGGTTTTTTGTGATTACCATGGAGAAGAACCCTAGAAGATGAAGATTTGAAGGTTAAGAGTTGTTCTTGGCTGGAGAATTTCGTGGTTTTAGAGAGGAAAAGAGAGAGTTTGAGTGTGGTAAATGGTGGAGTGTGAGAGAGAATGAGGGGTAGAGTAAGAGAGAGAAGATGGAGTGGTAGAGTGAATTGATTATGTGTTGGGAAGATGAGAGAGAGGAGAGATCTGACTTTTTAATGATGAGAGGGTCTCCCTCTTTTAAATTTTATAAAATATAACTTTATTTTATAAAAATATAGAGTTTTTATAAAACATGCACCTTATTCTAAATTTTCTTTCACAAAACCTTGATTTTTGGCTTAGAAAATAAGGTTAAATACAATGACTTCATTTTTTTTCCTTGGTTATATTTTACTAAATTGAGTTATTTTAAATTGATATTTTATAGTCCATACCAAATTTATGGATTTTTAGGTGTTAAAGTTTATAAATTTGAGTTTTTAGGGCATTTAGGGTTTTTGAGAGCTTGTAAGTCTTTGGATATCAAAATTAATTAAATTTTGAGACTTAAAACTATTTTAGAGTTTCATAACTCTTATTCAAGTTAGAAATAATGTTTGTAATATTTTTTTATCAGTTTATTGGCATTCTATGTAGTGACTCCGAGATTCAAGCAAAATTGAGGAATCAAGTATACTAGTCCTACTCTTCAACTTTGACTTAAGTTTCTATGAGACTCTCACCTAACTTTTACTTCAAGGTCAAGTACATGATGTGTGTATATGATTCATGAAATGGTGTTTAAGTCAAACAGTGACCCTAATATAGATACTAACTAAAGTTAAGTAGTAGTAAAATTCACACATCAATGTGAAATTTAAGTACACTATCCATTGATTGTAATTGTTTCCAATTTTCTAGTAGGTTATAACATAGCTTCTAGTTACTAAGTCTAGTACGTGTAGTGCCTATATGTGCAACTAAGTCTAGTCAAATCTAGAACCGACTCGAATTTTGACAGTTGTTACATTATGTGTTGGGGAGAAGATCTAAAAATGAGCCAGGGTCAAAAATAATACCACGTAACATGGAACCCATAGTAAAAAATCTTGAAAGATTGTTCTTAATTTTGTTTTTTAATACTTTTTAATCTTTTTTGTCTAAGTTATTGTATTGACTATTATGTTGTTTGCATTAACAAATAGATGTGAAAAGAGAAATATCTAAAGGTGATTTGTTGCCGTGTCCCGGAGAGAAAGAATTTGTTAGTAAGATACAGGGACTTGACAAAAAAAAGCCCACGAGAAAGAATTTGTTAGTAAGATGCAGGTGCAATTAGATCAAGCTATAACCCAATTGGCAGAGTTAACAACAAAGTTTTTGATGCAAGAGTCTAGGAACCAAGTCACAAATAATGTATGCTTTTGTGTTCAAAACAATAGTTATGGCTAGACGTCGACATTGGATGCTATAGATATGATAAAGGTAATTCTTTATTATAGCATCAACCTTTAACTACTAATAAAATCCACAACTCAATGAGTCAATTTTTTTTTTATCACTAATTCTAGTTGATTACATAAATTTGTTATAATTATGTGGTACAAATTAGGAAAAGAGTAATAAAACTCACTTGTTTCTTGTTTCGGGCAAAACAAAATATGAAAATAGATATATAATTGAATTAGAGTTAATCACTAATCCTAGTCTTCTATAATGTTCAAGTGTTTCAAGAAAGTTAAAAAATATTCCCTTGTATATGTTATGTATGTGCTGTAAAGAGCAAACAATAAACTAGATAAATAGAACTTGTTTAAAAATTACAAAATTGTCCTTATGTTGCAGCAATTATAGAAAATAGTAATTGTAAGTTTTTTTTTTACAAAAATAGTCCATGTAAGAAACAATTACAAATCCCTAAATTTACAAAAGAAGGAACTATGCAGAAAAAATTAAAAAAAAATGTACCTCTAATGTATAGAAATGCAGAATTTAGCATATTTTCTGTTTTAATATGTTAGGCTTATGTTTTTTGAATTTATTGATATCATATTACTTTGAACTTTGCTATCAAATTATGTTTTATATCGAATTTTCTAACATACTGACACATGAAATACACTACAAACTATATGATTGCAGACTATTACTTATTGTGATTTGGTGTTACTTTTTCGTCATATGAACCAAAAATGTATGGAAATGCAGAATTGGTCACTACGTTATACAAATGTACAATAATGGTCGATGTGTGATAGAAAATATATTAAAATAGTTCCAAACCTTTATATTTAGCATATTTTTCTATTTTAATGTATTAGGTTTATGTTTTTTGAATTTCTTGATATCATTTTACTATGAACTTTGTTGTCAAATTATGTTTTATATCATATTTTCTAACATGTTGACACATGAATACACTTCATGCTATCTGATTGCAGACTACTACTCATTGTGATTTGGTGTTACCTTATGGTGATATAAAGCAAAAATGTGCCAGAGGGATGGTCTTTCCTTATAATGATGGGTTAATTCACTCACTTCCTCTACGCGAAAATCACTTAAACCTTACGATAGACAACATAGAAGAAAGATATAAAGATATTCTTGTTCCTGTAATAACAAATGAAATTGGTATCCTAAAAGATGTAGTTGGCACTGTAATTCAATGGTCGTGGATCACAATTGTTCTTAGTAAGGTACATCTTCATTATACTTTAATTTTTTATCTACCGTATATACATTTTTTAAAATGGGAGAATTCCCTATATGCCCTTATTAAACATCAAAATATTATTTATAGGATGAAAAGTAAAATATTTTGATGTTTAAGAATGACATATACAACGTTCTCGCTAATTAAAATGAGTTATTAATGGAAACAACAAAGCAAGGTGCCATCACACCAACAAATTCAAACCATAAGTGCACGACCATCTACTGCAAAAGTTGTTATGGATAAAAAAACATGGCTAACCAAAAGATCAACAAACCAAGGCCAATACAATCACTTCAAGACGTTTTGAGGACCAACCTAGTGGTTCATGTTGTAACACCCTGTTTGTTTAAATAAATTACTAAAATGTGAATCCTAGACTAATTTGTGAAGAATTTTAGAAGTCGGGCGTTAAAGGAGAAAGTTTGGAATTAAATTGAATAGAATTTCGAAAGTCAGGGTGCGTTTTGTAATTATGGACTTAAATTGAAAAGATTTGAATGCTGAAGGGTTTATTAGTAATTTAAGGATCTATTATGAAACAAATTTATGGGATCAGGGCTTAAAATGTAAGTTTTAGATTCAGTTTGTAAAGATTTCTGAAGGCAGGGTTAAAGTGTAAAATATGAACTTATTTTGAAAGAAAAGGGGATTGAGGGGTCGAATTTGTCAATATGGGAAACTTTCTTATGGGATCGGGGTATATAAGACCTGTCACCTGGTAACCTAACCCTAGCTCATAGAGGCAACCTCCATCATCAGAAGCCCTCCAACAGCCACCTTCACCTCACCACCCTTCCAGTCATCGCAACCTCCTAGCCACCATGAATCCGGAAACCGCCGAAGCGTACCACCATGCGTGTTTTTCGGTCAACTGTGGCCGCCGTGTGAGCTTTTGCCGCATGCCTTTCCTCCTCACCGTCACTGAAGCCAATTAGTCAGGGTCCAACCCTTCTACGTCAGAAATTGATACCTTGGACCGTCGCTGCCATCCGCCAGATAGTTACGGTCGCCACCTTCCTTTCTCATTCTTGTTGCAAGCGTTGCCTCATTTCGCGATGGTTTCTTCTCATTCACGACCACCACCGCTGTTAGGTTTGGTTGGACTACTCAGGTCGCAGCTCCAGCCATTGCAACCACCGCCATCTCGCGTTGCCGCCATATCTCCCGACCGTCATGGCTGTCATCGCCAAAAACCTTGTTGCCTTCACCATTACAGACCACCAGGTGGGTTGTGATTATGTTTGTGATGTGTGAGGGATAGTTTAGCTGGAGATAAAGAGAAAAACCCACCATGGGAGCCGACCATGGTGGTTATTGCCTTGAACAGTTCCTACCACCACAAGCCACCGTGAGGTGGTGGCTATGCGAATAAATCATCCGATTGGGTGTGTTTCGGAAGTTGTTTGCACATCGTATGGTTAGAAAATCAGAGATCTGCCGCCACCACCACCGTGAGGTGGTGGCTACCACCAAGCACCACTGCCGGCCACCACGGTGTGGTTGTTTGTGTGTGTATTTTAGTTTAGTGTAGTGTGTGTGTTATTTTGGTATTTTCATTATAAATTGTAAAAAAAAAAAGGAATAATGGAAAGAGATTGAAAAACCACCACCTTAGGGTGGTGGCTGCCGCCACCGGCCGCCATGTCGGGTGACGGTGTCCCTTGTTTGGATTATGACACTTTGGGATGTTTGGACAAGGGATAAAACCCTAATGGGCCTTGTAAGGCCTAATTGGCCGAATAAAGCTTAATGGACCTAAAAGCCCAAGCATGTGACTAATGGGCTTAGTGAAACCCTAAAGGGCCTAGTAGAATCATAATGCGCATAATGAACCCTAATTTGGGGAATTAATCGGGACACACGGGAAATATATAATAACTTGAGATATTAATTAATAATCATTGTAAATTTACATAAGGCTATGTGGGACTTAATGGATTAAGTCCTTAATGGGTTAAGTAGGAAACTTAACCCTAATCCTCATTTTATGTGAAACCCAAATTTCACTTGGGTATATTATTGGGGTTTTCAATTGGGCCTTGATTGGATTGTTAATGGGTCATCCAAGAATAATCATAAGGACTAGAGTAATTTAATGGTCGTAGGCTAAGGCCCATGTAAGGAGTTTGGGCCTAATTTGGAAAATTAGGCAATAGATGGGCCACAGTTGGGGCCTTAATGATTATATGATGTTGGGTCTTATAATAAGACCATGTATATGATTGGGTCCAATTTGGAAATCGGGCCATGTGTTAGGCTTTGATTCCTAATGGACTTTGGGCCTATGGATTGGGCCTTGGGCTTTAATATGCCACGTTTGGGGTAATGTAGTAATTATCCAAAGAATGTACTATTGGTTATGTGTTGGAAGGCAATTATTAATTGGGTAATGTTTTGATATTGATATTTCGGAAATCTGCCATCCAACAGTTGAGGATGGGTTTGCGGGACTTCAGCAGTGTGGGGTTAAGTCTACGAGACTTCAGCAGTGTGCGGTGAGTTCCCTTCCGGTAGGAACTGGTCTACGGCCACAATGTCGGCCCGTTTAAATAGCAGTAGTATGTATGCTTGATGTCTTCATGATTCACGCATGTTTTGTTATGTGTAGTATATCAGGCATGCCCGATACAGTATGTGATTATGCCATAAGTTCATGATATCTTATATCCAGTTTATTCCAGAATTCGGTCCGATGGAGGGCGTGGCTCGATGTAGAGTGCGGGGCCCAAGTTATTCCGGACTTTGGTCTGATGTCGGGTGGGGCCCGATGTAGTTGGCGAGGGCCATGTTATTCGGGACTTCAGTCTGATGTCGGGCATCACACCCCTAAACCGTCAGGAAACAACGGCAGAAATGTCCGGGGGCGAGTAACGTCATGCGTAGTATCACAATAGTTGTATCATAGCAAGCAAAGTACAAACAACTATTACATTACAATATGATTATTTACATCTATTTGAAAACATAATTTGTACATAACAGTATATAACAAAAGTAAAAGACATGATTCTAAAATGTTCCGTCTTCTCCAAAAGTTGGCAAGAGTACCTGTCTATTGTTGCTCTGAGAATACAAGCAGTTTAAAAAGTATCAACATAAAGCTGGTGAGTTCATAAGTATTTAGTTTTGGTGGAAATTGTTTCTTTGATCCTTTGAAAAGTGTCTCCCAAGAAAATCCTATATTTTCTTATAGAAAGTATGTTTGAACATCCATTAGTTACTTGTTGCACAATCAGTTTATGAAAAATCGAGTTATCCCAGGAAAATCCCATATTTTCCCTTAAAAGTTGATGGTTGGTTATCTGTTCTAGTCTGAGTTGTACAAGTATCTACCATACTTATATCGTTAGACTTATTTTTCTTGAAAAAACCTGTTTGCTCCCTGTGAGATGTATTATCCTTATTACATAAATAAAAATAATAAATATGCGGTGAACTAAATCCTAAGGGTATTATTAATACCCTCTAGTAATCAAATCGGTTATTACTTTGAGGTTAGTTCACTTGTTTCATTATTACAAAAGTAAATTATTGTTACCTAGGTTGCGAGTGTCATAACTGTACTTAGACTTGATATGGCACGTAATGGGGCCAATATCTTTTTATGACTTTGTCACCCCTGGACTTGTCGGTACAACTGTAGCTAGAAGTAAGGTGCGGGATAGTCCGTCCCGTATAGATGTGTACACAACATTCACGCTCTCCCTACAAGAGATTATGGTTACAAGTGCTAATCCTACACCTTGATTCTGAGGGGGTGTTACCAAGGACGTGTCTCCAATGTTAGACTAACAAATTTACAAGAAAAAGTTCCAAAAATCTTGTTTATGGTTTGCATGAATCCTTTATAAAATAAAACTTTTTACAAAATGATTAGCGAGTTCATTTCTTTAGTTTTGAAAACTGTTTCTACGAGTTTATTTCTTAATCGTTTGGTAAAATTGTTTTCTGTGTTTAAAGCATACTGAACATATAGTTATATTAAACAAATAATATACTTTGAGCACAAGTTTCCTTGTACTTTTGCTTGTATTCCCTCCTAAAAACATGAAAACCTCGAAAATACCATAGGGGTATGAACTCACTGTTTAACGTAGGATTCAAGTGTATGATCGTTATGAGTTCTGAGTGTTAATTGATGTTTCGTATGCAAGTGGATCCTATTAACATATAGTAACACATATATGCATTAGATTTATGGTATTCCATGACTAAACATGACGGGAAACCACCCTAAGGACCTGGAAATGCTTGAACTAAGTGTCAGAGCCATAAATGATCAAACGAGGGAGGTGTATGGCCACAAAATCATGGGTTTTGTTTGTGTGCTGCCGAGTGTGCGGCCAAGGTGTGTGTGCGGTTGTACACTGGAGTGTGCATCCATACAGAGTGTGTGTGCAGCCGTACACAAGGGTCTGAGGCCGTACACTCTTCATTTATGCTTCAAAAGTAAATTTTAAGGTGTTTTATGGTGCAAACCAAGTCCAACTAGAAGATAAGGGGCCAAACTCTCACTTTGGAGGGTCGTTAAGGTGTATACGACCACCTTATGGAGGTGTACGGCCGTACACCTTCAAAGGATAAAGAACATGAAGAGTTTAGGCTTAGATCAAGGTTTCTTACCAGTATAACAAGTTAAATGATGGAGTACTTCACGTTTTTTAGGCCTTTGGAGTGTTCTTGGATGAAGATTCTAGAGAGAGAAACTAGAGTGCAACCAAAGAGGGAAAGGAATGAATGAAGGGGTCACCCTCTATATACAAGGGTGAGTGTGCGTCTGGAGGATGGGTGTGCAGCCGAAAACCCGTGTGTATGACCCGGTTTTGTCCCTATACGACTTGTTGACTTATTCCTAATCTCATTCCCAACTATATTCAAGCTTAGAACACTTAAACGAACCCTTAAATGGCATTAAAAGGTAACAAAATCGAGTTCAATGTTAATAAAGTTCACCAATCATAAAAAACAAAAGTCTCGGGTTGTAACATCAATCCCCCGTTAGAGGGAATTTCGTCCCGAAATTCAAGTATAAAGGTACGAATCATGGATTTGGAAATAGATGGGGTAACTTCTGTTTCATTGAATCCTCTCGCTCCCAAGTGAATTTGGGTCCCCGTTTGGCATTCCAGCGAACCTTCACTATCGGGATGCGACTTTGTTTCGTTCGCTTGATTTCCCGGTCCGTGATTTCGATTGGTTCTTCCACGAAGTTCAGGTTTTCGTTGATTTCAGACTCATCGGGAGAGACCACTAGGGTTTCTTCGGATAGGCATTTCTTAAGATTCGAAACGTGGAAGATAGGATGAATGTTACTAAGCTCTTGAGGTAAACGAAGTTTGTATGCTACGGGACCGATCCTAGCAAGGATCTCAAAAGGTCCTATGTATCTTGGATTTAGCTTTCCTTGCTTTCCAAAGCATATCATGCCTTTCCAGGGTGAGATCTTCAGTAAGACACGGTCATCAACCTGGAACTCCAAGGGTTTTCATCATCTATTGGCGTAGCTCTTTTCTCTGTCTCGTGAGGCTTTCAGTCATTCTCGGATTTGTACGATCTTTTCTGTGGTTTCGCGGATGATCTCTGGGCCTGCGAGAGTGCTATTAGGGACTTGTCTCTTAGCTAGCTGTGTGTCGTCCACCTTAGCCCAGCAGAGAGGGGATCTGCACTTACGGCCATAGAGAGCTTCAAAAGGCGTAGCCTTGATACCGGTATGATAATTGTTGTTGTAGGAAAATTCAACCAAGGGCAAATAGGTGTCCCACGATTTACCAAAGTCGATGACACACGCTCTCAACATGTCTTCCAAGGTCTGGATAGTTCTCTTACCCTGCCCATCTGTCTGGGGATGGTAAGTTGTACTCATATCCAGCTTCGTTCCAAGAGCTTTTTGTAGGGACTGCCAAAATCTCGATGTGAACTTGCTATCTCGATTGGA